CATACACTTCTCGTCTGCCCGTCATGACTTTTTCTTAAACAATGAATGCAAAAACTTTTACAAGTCATTATTTCACTTGCAATGTATGTATGTATGTTATTTTATTTTATTTTATTTTAGGGAAACAAACAATAAGATAAACTTATGGGATATAATTATACAAAATTTCATATATCAGCTAAGTTTCCACTGGTAATTAGACACAAATAATTAAAAAAAGACTAGTAAACATTAAAAACGTATACTGACGAATTTCTTCGGCAGTTATGAATAAAATCTAACATAAATATAATTAAACGAAACAAATTTTAAAAAAAGAAGTAACAAAACACATTAAACAGAATTGAAGGCATTAATGGCTACATCGGTTAGTTAAATTACAGACAAAACATTTATACACGTCAAAACAAACTATGAATTGATACATAAATTAATCTCATTAACTTTATTTTTAAAAGAATACATTTTTCAAATAATATATAAATATCTTAATAAACTTTATTATAATTTTGGCAGCTATGTACGATATAAGAAGATAATATTATTAGTACTTTTCGTTTTACAAATCGGCACATTAAATAATGGTTTATATCTAGAATTTATTCGTGAACAATTAAATTCAATATTAGACAATAGGAAAGGTGAATCTACGAAACTGTTAATTATTTTATTTAATGAAAGATACAATTTGTTTAAAGTTTGTAATTTCGTCCTTTAATGGTTTGAGTTGCGCAGAAATTATATCGGTTATAGTATTTTCCAAATTAAGCCACAATTTGTCGAACTCTTTGGATACAATATTTTGAACTTCCTCACTAGAGACTGGTATTACATTTGAATCCACTTTGGATGAAGCAATGTGGGCTCGTACACCTCTTCGATTTTTAATATTATCATCCATGGTCTTTTTACAAATTAACTATGTGGAATCTCAAAACGAGGAAAAAAAATAAAAATAAAAAAAAATGAAATCAATCTTCCCGACATGCGATGCCCGGGGGAATCGAACTCTCGCTTCACGCGTACAATGCTTAGTAAACACCTTTTGGCCACTTTGATTCTGAAGTGAGTTTTGAAAAAGATGATTTAATTAAAACATAGTTTTATCATTTGATTCTTGACCAATCAGGAGTAAGGACGCAATGCTCTTGAGCGTTTGAATAAAAATACTGGTTTTTACCTTACAAGTTTTAAAAAACACTTAATCGCCTTCTCAAAATTAATGAACTGAATGTTTTAAGCACTATTGACGGCAATAAAACTAAAAAAACACTTTTTATTCTAAAGTTTAAACAAAAAATACTATTCCGATATACCTACACTATTAGGTTAATATTATGAAGATAACAATTTGACGTCAAACACCCAAAATCACCAAGTTAACCACCTACAAACGGTAATAGCGAATAATTGTACAATAATTTGACCGATAATCACTTGATAGTGGCAAGAAAACAAATATTTACAATTTTATTGATCTTTATGTACGGAGCCAATGTTTACGCTACCGGTAGCGACACCTAATTGATATTCTAACCTAATTTATGTTCACTTAAAAATTACATATTATGTATGAAAATTTATATTTTCATTTTATTGTTTTGAAATGCTAATCACTACTTGGTCTGTATATGTAATGAACATTGCTATTATCTGGTATTTAGAGATTACCAGCTGGAAAGATTTATAAACCACAGAGGTCATTTCAATGGAATATATGATTTAAATATAATATCAAACTAATTGTAATAGACAGCACCTGCGGGCCATTATCATATATGGTCATACAATTAATTATAAAGAGAATATCTGATAAGTTATAACAAGGCAAGAAAGACTCAAAGATATACAAATATTAGTAACAAGTATGGAATTTTACGAGGAACAGGAGTAGTGAACTATGTGATAAAAGTCATAAAATAAAACAAATAATTTTAATGAAATATGAATTTTATTCCTCTTCAATAATAATTACAATATCGTCTAGAAACTATGCAAGGGGTACAATGTTACTAGTTGCTATCCCACAATTCACACAGCGATCCATCGTTTCAGTAATATCCAATGCACAAGCCTGTGAAATAATCCAAATGAACAATTCCAAGTCAAACGTGCAGGAGATCGTCGGTGTCCAATGTGAAAGCAAGGGTCGTAAAACGTTAGGCGGGTTCGGAGTCCGTAAAAAACAAAGCATTGGTCGTTGAAACCGTTAAAACCGATCGGGAAAGCACTCGAAACGTATCAAAAAACACGAAATGACTTAACAAGTGAGACTCATAACAATGCATCTGGCATAGTAATTATTAAATGTCAATCTTATGTTGCCATAGACTATATACGGAATGATTTCGATCGATATGGAATCGATAATGGAAAAGGATATTTTAAAATAATATTAAATAGTACTATTATAATAATACACGTTATTAAAAGCTATTTTTATTGAATTGTAAACATATATGGTGTAGTTTAAATGAAGTTACTGTAAGTTTAAAACCAAGAGTGAAGTTTTTATTTTGTAGTTAAATAATCGAATAATCATTTTTTATTTAATTAATTTAATCGATTATTTCATAAAAATAGTTATTTGCATATTTCTCCGCTTGTTGGTTGAGAATTTATGTAGATTTTTGGTATTTCCTACAAAAAAAAATAAACTAACTTTTTAAGTCAATTTTGAAATCATTAAATTTTGGGCCCAAAAGTTTCCATATTCTCCTTTTGCGGCTATTCGTAAGTACAAGGTCAAGATACACGTGCGGCGTCTTCTTTTGCGCATACAAACAATTGTCGCCGCCGCACGGAACGCACTATATTTGACACTATTTGATTGCCGACAAAAATGCCTGAATAAGCAAATAAAAAATAAAACATTAAATATAGTAAGCATCAAACTTAATTGAAGCATCGAAATAATAAAAAAGAAAAATTAACTATATACAATATATGTGTAATCAAATCAAATGCGTAATCAAATTATACAACGTGTAACGTAATTAACGCACACCCTCAAATACCCCAATGCGTATATAATAATATAAACGCAATGCATACACCAAATATTATTTATATGTGCGTTTGCATTTTTTATTTGTGAAATTAGTTATCCAAATTTCGTGCAAATAATATTGTCCGCTATTCAGCGACACTCTGTACTCGCCGCGCCCGCGCCCCTCTCTCCGAGTGCCGTCCGACAATAATAAGAAGTGTATAATAAGAACACGAAATAACTACATACATTATGATTTTTCTTTCCATCACACTTTTCAAGCTTTAGATTGTTGACATTGAATTTTCTTTTTAATGTGAAGCCAATATTTTATAATTTAACTGATTTGTTAAATTAAATTTGTAAATAAGAATTATTAAACAGCTGATAACGCGTGATTTGAATAGACACCACAATACCTACGACAAAGTTAAACACAGTCGGCCTGTTTAAATGGCGTGTATCAAAATATTTACAATAATTTAAAGATCATAAACAAACTTACAGTTTAATTTGCACTCGCACGGCGTTGTCGTTTTAAAACATTTTCAAAATGTCCACCGCCTTGTTTAATGCACTTTAATGACCGTTTTCGCAATTGTGGTTTTATTTTAGATAATTCTGCAATGTCACTTTTCACTTTTACAAAGGCAGTTATTATCTTATTTTTTAGTTCCTCGGCACTTGTTATCTCTGTGTTATAAACTAGAGATTTAATTCGCCCCCACAAAAAAAAGTCGAGTCGCGTCAAATCAGCTGATCTAGGAGGTCAATGGACACGTGCGTAGGTACTTGATGTATTGAATGTTAGTGTACCGAAACGACACAGCGAAATGCGCGACTAAGATTTTATTTGCACTTTACACTTGACCTCTTTTCGATAAGGTGGACGCGGCGTGACTAACTTACAGAAAACACATTTTGTTGACTTCGATGTTTAGTTATTATTACTCTGATTCCCGGAATTATGCCTGCCGTCTCGCTCTATTGTAATGTTATTAAGCCGAAGAAAGAAGGAGAAAGTAATAATTTTTGTACTACGCGGCTTTCTTTTATGCACTGTAGTGACCTTGCTGTGTGCCGGTTGTCGCTATGGTGTTGTGTGCGTAGTTATTATTAAATACTATTTTAGCCTTGAAATAAGTATCAGTTTTCTTTAATTGAATGATGATTACTAATTAAATATTTCATTTTAAAAATCTTAATACCCTGACTTACGATCCATTTTCGTTACCATTAATTTTCGTTTCTATGAAGTGTTTAGATAACTGTGTGAAGGGTGACTATAATTTACTTAGTTCTATCTAAATTTGAGAAAAAAAATGTCCTACATAAAAAACTATCAAAATCGATCCAGTATCCGATTCTGATCAAACTACTTTTAGGGTGTGCGTTAATTATGTTACACGTTGTATAGTACGTTACCGAGCAAATGTTTATTTTCTTAACATTTCAAATGTTTAAATCTAATATAGCTTTTAATAATCATTAATAAGGTCATCTATCTTTTTTTTATTATTGAAGCTACAAAGGAGCGAAATGCGGAACACTAAAATGTTATGCGTCTGTACCAGGGATGTTGCAGATGCCGATATTTTCACATCCGCGGATACGGATGCGGATGCGGAGTTTAGCAGGCTCACATCCGCGGATGCAGATGCGGATGCGGATGTATAAGATATTATATAAATAAAGTCTATCCATGAAGAATTAAAACAATGACAACGTAATTATTAACATTTTTATTGTAATTAAATATAATTAAGTACTTATTTTTATGTTAAAAATATAAGTCATGTATAATGTAACTGAACACCTTCTGTTTTTTATATCAGTAGTTGAATTTAAAAATAGGAGCATTATACTTGATGAAGAGTAGTATTGCCGCCTTTTCTGGTTCTAGTCTGTTACGCAGAGGTTCGTAAATTAATCCCGCGCTACTAAATAGTTGTTCGCTAGGAACACTGCCCGGTAGAGCAGATAAAAATCTTCGTACTATCGGCGATAATACCTTGAATTCCCCTCGATGTACACTCCACCAGTTTAAAGGATTTTCACTCACATTTATTCTTTTTTTAGTACGGTAAGCAAGTAACTCTTTTTTTAATACAGCTTCAACGCTACTATTTTCTGGCTCATCTTGACTTTCGTCTTCACTCGACGAATCTAACATCATAGCCAGGTCGTTTTTTAAGCATGGCTTTTTGTTGAAACCTGAAGTCCCTGGTCCTAGTTGTTCTGTTTCATTTTCCATGCAATCAGTTATTTTAGCCCTTTTGGCATTGGTATTAACTGATTCAAAATTGTCATTCTCGATATTTATCATTTTTAAAATGTCATCTTTAATCTTTTCTTCAGTCACCGGTGTGAAAAATTTGTGCTTATAGCGAGGATCTAAGTAGGTAGCGATGGTATATAAATTGTTTTCTCCCAAGCTAGAAAACTTTGTAGAAAGTTCGTTTTTCAAAGTCGTTACAGCCTGACGAATCGGATCAAACTCTTGCGATCTTGTTAAATAGTCATGAACTTATAGTATAATATTCGCATCCGCATGAACATTCGCATTGATTAATGCGGATGCGGAAGCAGATGCAGATGTCCAAAACAATGCGGATGTTCCGCATTTGCGGATGCAGATGCGAATGTTCGCAACATCCCTGGTCTGTACGCCTGTACTGTAAGAATTAGCGTTTTTTTATGTTTCAAATATGTACAGTAGAAACTCGATTAAGCGAACTAATCGTTGTCGATAGGTGTTGATCTTTGTTGTGTGATTTGTATTTGTATGTTTTAATTTTTTTTTATTAATTAATTATTTCAACGTTAGACTCCGCCCCATTGCGGGGCGACGTCCACCCGCGGGCCCTGCGGCCGGCCAGCCGTCGCTTCACAACTATAATAATTAATTGTTTAGTATGCTCCACAGTGTTTCCACATTGAGGGGAAATTAGGAAATATAGGGGAAATTAGGGTCAAAAGGGGAAAGACTATAAAAGGGGAAATTGGGGAAATCAAAGATAAATAAGGGTTTTGAGGAGGAGACGTAAAATATTATTTTGTGCAAAAATGTATGCGTTGACAGCGTTAACTGATTTGGAATAAAAAATGAGTATACAACTCCATTTTTTGTTTTTATTATATTTCTGGTCAGTCTGTAAATAAAACACAAATACGATAAATTTTAGGTGTGGTGTCAAAACTACAGCAAAATAATTTTTGAGGGGGAAAAAGTCCGTAGAAGGGGAAATCTGAATTGAAGTGTGGGAAAAAGAAATCGTTCTAGTGGAAACACTGATGCTCCAGCTTCCGGGTCGGACTGCACGTCGCTCGTATGCTCGCTGGCCTATTACATAATAGGTATGTACCTTTTTTTTTTTTTTTTTTTTATCGCGGTGAAAGGTTTTATACCTACCCCTCCGTCTAGGGGAGACAGAGGCGGTTATGTGGGATTCACGGCCAGAAGGGCCCATGTTACCCACTAAAACACCAGCGGTCACTCTCCGTTGCCGCCAAGTGGATCGCCACGGGAAACGCCGAAGCATGCATCCGCGACGATCCGGCGGCGGGCCGCGAACGGCCACCTCCCCCCCCGAGGGCTCACTCCAAGTGACCAGGAGTGTCCCCCCGCCTGGCGGGCTTGCTTAATCGCGAGAGGGTTAACCCCTTACCCCTCCCACCCAAGCCCACGCGGCCAGTCTCCAACCACCCACCGACGAGCGCAAGCGCCCGACGGCAGACAGAGAGGAAACCGACCGACCACAAGCGAACTCAGGCCTCCGGAGAGACCCGAGTATCCCCTCCCCCCAAGACAGCCACGGACGGCCTCCTGCCAGATCCGTGACCGTCTTACTCCCAGGGCTGTACCCCCAGCCCTCCCCCCCGTGACTGATTGCACCGGAACACACCAGTGGGCGATGGGGTCGTCACGTCCCGACGCCGGACTGCGCCGACAGTGGCCGAGGCCACCCGCCAACACGTAGGGCCGAACTTGGCAGCGGCGGTGTACACCGCCGAGCCTCGTCCTACCCACCTCCATGGGCTGCACCCCCAGCCCGGGCCAAGACCCCACGAGGAGGTCAAGGCCCTTCCCCCCCGTGACTAATTGCACCGGAATACACCGGTGGGCGATGGGGTCGTCACGTCCCGACGCCGGGAATAGGTATGTACCTGTATCTTCAACGTATAGTAAAGTGTCTTATCGTTTGCTTATAAACTTAAAGTAGCGATACTAAGCTGGTGACCCCGACGTGATATGAACAAATAGGCATTCGGATAATCGAACGTATGAATGAAAAATGCGAGTTTTATACATATATGATATATAGTACATACATAATGTTATATGTTTATTGAAAAAAAGTAACAAATGCATATCAAGTTATCAACGATAATAATCAATGTTTGTTAATAAATAATTGAAGGATACATTTTCTTAGATTAATATAGTGTACATTAATTAACTAACAACAAAACAAAATAAACGTTATGACGGGCGTAAGTATAATGCAACAAAATTACGTAGTTACGTTTCGTTTAACTTTATTCGCGTTAAAAAAATATTTTTTAACATTAATTAAATTGTAACCGCAATAAAATTTCTTAAATTTTATCTGATATACATATATTAGAAGAAATTGTAAATATATGACGTTGAAGCAGTGATTATAGTGCTATATGTATGATAGCCAAAACAAGATGTCTTTTTTTAAATCTGTGTGTAATGAAACGTGTGTAATAATAACATTCTTAACCTGTTGTGGTCATACTACCATTATAATACGACTCAAAATATACACCACCACTTACGAAGAGCCTGTATCGCTATTATATACCTTCCTTTATCTGAAAATTGCTTAATAAACACTCCAAATTTAAGAAACCCGCGATTTCTTTACGTCAGTATTAAAATATAGGGTTGTTAGTTTTGTAGTAATATTATAGTGGTAATTAAAGATTTTTAAACTTTTATTTTAAGCTAATTTTCATATAAATTATGTATTGACCGCCTAAATAAAATTTTAGGATTCTATATGAAATTAATTTTTTTGTATTTAAACAGGAAATTGTGTTATAATGAATATAGTTGTAATTACAATAATTATTATTTTTTATTGCGAGTGTATCAACCCTAATTATGATGACTCATGGTTTGTTTACTAAATTCCAGATCGAATGTGTCTGGAGTATAAGTAGTTGTTATATTATGCGTAGAGTACGCAGTGCTTATTTGCATGTATGGTGTGCACGCCACTGTCATATAAAGTGAGGATCTAACATGCAATCTCTTTCTAGACAGATAATATCCTTTAAATCACAGCCAAGTTAATGTCACTACTTTGTTTTCTATATGCTTGAGTAAATTGAAAAACCATATTTTAGTATAGTTATGTAGTTCATTTCAATAGAAATTTTCAATCCTGTAAACAAATGTGATGAGCTGATATTGATAAACACTTGCCTCTGCCACAAGTGATGTGAGTACTCTTACAAGATATTTTAATAGTTTAAGAAAAATAGTTCATACTTCATTGTATAATTATTATGTACAATACAAAATTTACAAAGGCAAATTTTGATGAGTAAAAAATTATTGTGTCAAATATTATATAAAAGATTCGTGCTCAAAATAATTTTATAAAATAAACATATAGGTATACACTGTTGTTTAATGGTGAAAATATTGTTAAGAACAGTGGTGGGTTCATTGAGATGTAATTATTATCAGAACTGATATTGTATTGTACGTAAGAACGGAGTAATCGTGGTCAGTTGTTTTGTTTACATTATTGCCAATTTATCCAAGAGAGACTTATCTCCCGCTCCCACTTCTACCGTTTACTAGTTTAATCCGTAAAGAATCGGTTACTGAGCTCCTAGTAGGTACTTATTGCACTTGATGGCACGATCTTTGGGAATTTCGGTTTCCAAAGGAAACGTAAGCTCTAGCAGCTTAACGCGTTGTAAAATTCGTGAATATGCTCTGCAAATTGTTTTGTATTATATTTGAAAATTTACTCTTTTATTACAAATATTTACTAAAACGTAACACTGATGGAGTGTCATGCTACTATAATAGGTATATGTAGGTCATTACCTACGTGTACTGTGTATTTATAGGTCATTACCTAGGTTCAATGATAAGATTTTGAAATTTCTTTTTCTTTTGGGTCATTCCATAACAAAATAAAAAGGAGGACATATTTTTAAATAAATATAGCACTACAAATATTATTTTGAAATTCAATTTAAATGCATCAAAGCAGAGTGTGTCAAGAACTTGTAAAATAAATTTATAGAACCTCAACAAACTGATATATTGAGTCAGTGAGATTTTTCAGGACTATACAGGGTTACTGGTGAATTACTATCGATACTTGAGGACGTGATATTTGACGATCATATATGACAAAATAAAAATTAATATACTTAACATAAATATTAATAAACTTCTAAATAAAGTTAACCAAAAGTTATGTAATTAATTAAGCATCGTGTGAACACCCTACAGATTAGGTATACACACACACTCACACATACGCGTGCGGCGGCGTGGTGTTGTATCAGCACGCCGCCGCACGCGTCCACACTTGGAACACTTGGAACGTGTCAACACTTTATTTATTTATACGGAAATTTTGTCAAAAATTAAGTACCTATTTTTTTTACATAATTCGAATGAGAATCATGTACCGAGTATTCTCCTTAAATATTGATAGTAATTCATCAGTCACCCTGTATATTTGTCTAAAATTCCAGCCAATTTAATACAACGTCCAATTCTGCACCTCAAAGAAGTACGTGTAAAATTATACTTTAAACTGTTGGTAATAAGATTTATTTTTGTTCAAACAGTTTTCTAGAGAGCCGCAACAAATTTGATACCTTCAGAATGCAGACAAATCTTACTTATCAATTTAAAATACATTTATTTTTCTTTTACTTTAGCTTTCTGATATAAATTGATGCAGCGACACGCTTAGTTAATTTTTAAGTTACCCAAATTTTCAAAGTCGCTATATCTTTTGAATGGAGTATCCGATTAAAATAATTTAAACAGCAATATAAAGGTATTGAACTACTGTTAAATAAAAAGTAAGTTATTTAGATAAGTGTAAATACCATGGTATGAATATCAACATCTTATTTTTGTTGCCGATTTAAATAGTTTGTTAAACTATAAAAGTTTTTATATTGGCGTAACTATAATACTTAGATATACACTACCGCAGACTTTCCTGTAGATAATAATGCAGTCAACAAAATCGTGGTACATTATTTTGCTCCATCATCAATAGTTATTGCAGCGCACGCGATTTAAGGTATTTC